GAAAATTATTACACGAAATACTGTTGACTTTCCCTCCAAACTTAGGAATTAATTTGGGCGCTAGGGAACTGACCACGCGGAATCTATCTATATATATAAGGAAGATGTGTTAGTTACTACGCTTATAATTCAAGAACCGCTGATCTGATTTTAACAATTTACACCAATTCGGAATTGTCTCTTGGCAGAACCAGTAGCGATTTCGGATGCTTTGGATTTATGCAACTTTGAAGAAGTGTTTACAGTGACAGATGTTGATTCACAGGTAAATATACTAAATTGTGGTCTTCAATGTTTGCATACAGTTGTTCCGATAAGAAGAAGATTTTATAAGAATAATAATAGTGATTGGTTTAAATCTTCTGACATCCGTTATCATGTTTCCCTTAGGGATTCAGCATATAAGGCGTATCTTCAAAATAGGACTTTAGATAATTGGAGGAATTTTTGTCGTTGTCGGAACCGTGCTAAGAAAGTCATAAGGAGGTTGAAGTATATTGCTCACAAGGAATTGTTTATGAATAAAACCACAAAGGAAGTGTGGTCGATATTAAATAAGAATGGTTTGAGTGATGAGGAATGTGAAGTTGAAAATGTGGATGTTGAGATGTTGAATTCTTGTTTTGTCTCCAATCAATCTATGGATGTCTGTTATATTTCTTGTGTTAGTTATGATGAAGTTATTGGCGCCTTTAATAAAATTAAGTCAAAAGCAGTAGGTTACAATGGCTTTAAACTTAAATTTCTTAAACTTGTTTTTCCATTTGTTGGTCCTTTTGTGCTTCATGTTGTGAATACGATTTTGACAGTGTCTGTGTTTCCTGAGCTCTGGAAAATTGCTAAAATAGTGCCTATTCATAAAAGTGGTGATTCTGATGAGTACAGACCCATATCAATAATGCCAATTCTTTCTAAAATGGTTGAATATGTATTGAAAGATCAAATGTTAGAATATATAAATGAGCATTCACTATTACACCAGAGTCAGTATGGATTTAGAAGTAATCGTAGCACAACATCTCTTCTGGTTGGATTGACTGACAATATAAGAAATTCTGTCAGTGCTAGTGATTGCTGTGTTTTATTATCACTTGATTTGGAGAAGGCATTTGACAGGATTAATCATGCCAATTTAATTAGTAAGTTACATCGTCTCTTCAATTTTTCGTCCTCGGCTTGTAAGTTAATGTTTTCTTACTTGTTCGGGAGAAAACAGTATGTCTCTGGTAAAAATGTTGTTTCCAATCTTCTTCCAGTGAGTTAGTTGTGTACCACAGGGATCTGTTCTTGGCCCTCTATTGTTCGTTATGTATGTTAATGATTTGCTGAGTTGTATTAATGGTAGGAACTGTATGTCGTTTGCATTTGCTGATGACATTCAAATTTTGTTTAAAGGAGAATATGTGTTTATGGATGTGTTGCAGTCGTCAATTGATTTTAATATTAATATGTTGGTAACTTGGTTGTCCTGTAACGGTCTCTCAATAAATACTCAAAAATCTAAAGTTATGTTTTTTGGGAACTTGCAAGAGGATTCAATTAGAGTTTCCATTTATAGGACGCCTATAAATGTTGTAGCTCGATGAAATGTCTTGGTTTGTTTCTTGATTCTGGTTTGGTGTTTGATGTGCATGTGAATTCTTTAGTGTCCAAAGTTAACTTTATTTTAAAGAAGTTGTACTGCTTGGACATAGTTTTGCCTAAGAAGATTAGAATTCAGTTGGTACATGCATTAATAATGCCTCACTTTTTATATTGTATTGAGATTTTTGGGGGTAGCTACGGTTTTGTTTTTCGTAAGTTAAAACTATTGTTTCATAGAGTAATGCGATATGTTTTTTGTGTCAAACGTCGTGATCATATATCTCCTTCTGTGAAAGAGTTTCTTGGTTGTTCGTTTGAGTGTTTTGTGAATTTAAGGTCAATGTTGTTCTTCTACAAACATTTTAAATTGAGGACATCTTCTACTCTTTTGGACCTTTTTAAGTTTTCGAGATCTGTAAGGAACCTGCAAATTGTTATACCACGCTTGACTCCTCTGTTGGAAAAATCCTTCTATGTAAGAATTGCTCGCATTTTCAACAATCTGCCACCTAATCTTAAGACATTCAATTCTTCCCTAAAATGTTATAGGCGTAAATTATATGCTCATTTCAATATTGTTTAAAATATATAGTTTTCTTGTGTTAATTTGTTTTTTTCCTTGCATAGTTGATTTATCTAAATCTTCAATGAATTGTGATTTCTGCTAATTTTTTTTTGTTATTTTTTTAATGTTATTGTTAAGATTAAGGATGTTATGAATAGTTTTGAGTAGTCATGTATAGGAGTTCTTGGAACCATCAATCAATTGTTAATTTTATTCATTTTTTGTTAATTTGTTTTAGTGTTTAATTTTAAGTAATTCTTTTAGGATTAAGGATATTATAATAATTTTAGAGTAGTCATGTATAGAAGTTTTTTGAACCGTCCATGGCCCTGTTGGCTAAGTTTCTGTACTAATTGAAAATAAATAAATAAATAAATAAAAGGATAAAATCCAAAAAATGCCGTAAAAATGTGAAATTTTAACATTTTCATTTTGACTTTTGAAGTGTACAATAGTAATGTTTTATTTTGCATGATTTTTTTCCATTTTGACTTACTATTTCGGAATGTACATTTGTAGTGTTTTGTAGTTTATGGAGTGGCAGAACTGAAAAGATGGTGTCAAAATAATTTAACGTGGTCAAATCAAAATTGCTAAAAAATCAAAAAAGAGCATATTGCACTGCAAAAACTCTAAAATAGGGAATAACTGAGAACATTTTTTCAATGGAATCAAATTTCAAAATAATAGTAAGGACCAAACTTCATAAGGACCTTTAAATATTGGCTGTAAAAAACCAGTGAACAAGTTGAAGATTTTTTTTAAATTATTTTATTAGTTACTATGCTTATAACTCAAGAACGTTTTGACAGATTTTCACAATTCATACAACTTCGGAATGGAATCTTGCAAAAAAAAATTGCGTAAAATATGCCAATAAATATATAAAAGAAAAATCCTTTTGGCGTGAAATTTTTTCAATTTAAAAACTATATAGAAGTGTACATTTTTTATTGTTTTGAATTCTGAATGAATAATATCAAAAATGAAATAGTACGCAATAAGATGTTAAATGGCGATCTTTCATGTCTGAAATCGGCATTTAGCGTTCAACTCCAGGATTTACATCGTGCTTCAGCTGGAAGATGCGAACACAATTAAATAAACAAAAATAACCGACAAAACGTTATGGGGCTCATTTCAAAACGTGGACCCACCTACTTCTATCAAATGACAATAATCCGTCCAATGAGAACTCAATATGCAAAATTCATTGGGACTGCAATAAGTGAAATACCGAATATAAAGGGAAAAGGATTTCTATTCTTTCAGAAATTCTTCCTAAACTTTCACGATACCTTAAATCACTTTTGCAGTTCATGATATGGGCCATAACCCCCGGATAAGTATACAAACCGATTTCAAGTATATCTTACATTTTAACCATATTTTCATACTATTTTCGGCAAATGATGGTTATTTGGGAAGAAACCATCCATGCAAAAACTGATCATCATATGATTTAAGGAACCGGACATTTGTTTAATCGTCTTTGAATTATACTATGATAAAAGATATGAAAATTATGGGGTCTCCAACGCGCAATTTCAATGACAAATAATTCATATTACTTTAAAAACAAGTAAAAAAAATTATGTTCGGCCGGGCAGAATTATTACTATCATCCATCTAAGGGTAAAGGAAACATTTTTATACAAAAGTATCTAAATTCAAGCGTGTTTCACTTTAAACTTCATATACCAGTAAAATTAGTTCATAAATTCATTATTCTTCAACTAATTACAAATTTTTTTATATTTATTTATATTAAGCTCACAGGAATATTCGGAATATATAGGAATATATGTCCTGAATATATTGGTTATTAACCCCTGATTTAAATAACACCGCGTATTCTTTATTGTACATAGATTCCCTGGTTAAACGTTTTAGAATTTATGTCGTATATTTGATAGGTTGATGAGTTTGTAAACGAAAATATTGAGCGCAATGGCATCCCTTACTAATGGATTGTTGTTAGTCTATATGCGTTTTTTAATGTAAAGCAATATCTTCGTGTTTTTTAATCTGTCAAGATAAATGAACAAGTGTTGTTTGAAGGAAAAAGTACAAAACATTAAATTGCCGTGCATTAGTGTGCATAATTCAATATTTTTTTTTTTTTTGTGCCTTTTAATTTGTCGGCATGTTTGAATCAGTTTTCTTGTCCTCGAATATCTGATCACTCGTTTATATTTTATTGTTTCTTTATGTACCTAATCGGCGCAACCTAGACGAGTATGCTGACTACAGTTATGTTGATCCACTGGTCAATATCTAAATTGTGGTGTTCAATGTTTGCAAATCGTTCCGATTAGATGTGCATTTTGTAAAGTGATAATAACTGCAATTGTCTTCTGAAACTATGTGTATATGGTATACCTTTGCTTGATTATAAAGTTTTGACGTTAATAAAACCACACAAGTATGTTCAATATTAAAGAAAGAATAGTTTGTGTGCTGAGGAATGTAAAGTTAAGAATGTGGATGTTGGGAAGTTAAATGCTGGTCATGTTTCCAATTAATCTAATTAATTCTTGTGTTCCTCAATTCCACTACTGGTTGGACTTTTGATGGTTTTTCGTTTCGGATCCTTAGTTATAATCAGCGTTTAAAAGCCCTAACCTATAGAAATTAGCCTTAGCCTTAGAGTGCAACTGCAATTAAACGTTGGCAGCCATGGGAGCCAAAGTTGCACATGATCAGCTATTTAGCTCAGGGAAAAAAATTAAAAAAACAGTAAATTCGGCCGGGCCGAATTTTGAATACCCTCCATCATTTCGTTGAAAAATCATCAACCTTTGCTTCAACAATGGTTATTAAATATAAGTTAAATGTACCACATAAATACCTTGACAATTCACAGATGCGTGAGGCAGCAGATTTCCTTTCCACAACAGCATCCACATAAGGGACATTCAAATGTTTCTTCTTTCTGCAAAAAGTTTAAATTAAATACTTCGATAAACTATATATTTGAAACATTACTTACATCTTATTAGACATCACATATCTTTTTATTGGTTCTATAATAATAGAACATTCAATTTGGCTATCGCTCGTCGACAAATCATTTGTATTTACGACAGTGCGGTCCAAACTTACTCGCTGCCATAAACTATTCACATCTAAAATATGTGGACGACAGCGCAGACGCTTAAGCCTGTTTAGATCCAAAGTTGGAATAGGTTGCATTTTGGGTAAGTGAAAGGTGTCGTCAACAATGTCAACACTTTCGCTTTGAATAGATTGTTGACAATTTTTGCACTTCCGACATGTGTTTGTTACATTTACTTTAGTAAACGAATTAGATTTGTAATCCTTTGACCTTTCAATTGTTTTCTCTTCAAATTCATTATCATCATCGTCGTCATCGGAAATAGTCTTAACCAAACTAAATGTAGTCTGGTCAATATTTGCTAAAGTATTATCGCATGTTAAATTAATATAACAGTTCTGGAAATTAATACCTTTCATCGTTTCCAGGCATATTTCTTTGTGCACATCAAGACTTTCACCCACACTTTTTTTATTACTGGAAAAACATTCGGATATATCGTGTATAGAAATTGATTTGCCATCAAATATAAATGATTCTGTACATTTATAAGTTTCTCCAGAATGGATGGGCTCTAGAAACTTCATATTAGATTTAGTTCTACGATTAAATGCCGCTTTCCGTATTTCTTGAATACTTTCTGAAGTATTTTCAACATCATCTTTCATATCTCCCGATTTCATTATATCGCTTGTTAACATTTCGACACTATCGTCCCCATAAAGTGGTGGTGAAGATTCTTTTATATGATGTATATTTAAATCTTTATGACTGTCATTTATTGATTCATTGAATTTTGCATAATAATTTCTTTGCTCCGAATCGTTTTCACCCTCCGTAAATAAAACAGTTTGCCTTTTTTTCGCATTGGATGATAAAGGTGTTAAATGTATGGGTAATCTTTTGTGTGTACATTCATTATGAATTGAACTATTTGCAGTCTGTTCGTATGCCAAAAATTCAGTTATCGAATGATGCGGTGGTGTCATCGGCACAACATCGTCGCTTTGAGGTTCAGGAGGGATTTTCCTCAGTTTGAGTGGTAAAACTTTGGGTGTAACGTAACACTTCACGAGAACTCTTTTTCCGCACGCTGATTCTTTTATTACAGCTTCAGGACTGGTAATGTCTTCCACCTCATTAATTAAGAGTTCTCCATTGTCTTCACATTCCTCATTACAAGTATATATCTTCTTAGGATGCAATTCCTTCTCTGATATGTTTGTAGCATTATGTGGACCTTCCTCCTCTCTCCTTAATTCTGAAAAATCCTTATCGAGATTACAAATATTATGTGTATATGTGTTTTCCTTTGGTTCCCCATCATTGGGACTTATGTTTCCCACAAGTATATTTATCGAATTATCTAAATCCATGCCATGATATTCCATAATAGATTCATTAACATAATCGTTTTTGGGAATAATCTTTAGATGAGCAGGTCTGCAGCAAATTGATTTTTTATCCAAAGACTTTTCTACATTATCTGAGACATCTAATTCATTATTGGCGCTCATTTCATTCATAGTGTCATTATGTACCATATTATCTCCTTTAGTACGAGAATTAGCATTTTCATTTGCATCTTTCTCATGAAAGATGACATTGATGCTTTCATCTAAGATACGTGTATCAGTTATATTTTTGGTGTAACGTTCTGCTAATGTTTTATTTGCAACTAATCTGCCGTTCTCGGACGGCTCAAAATCAATACTTTCGTTTAAAATCCGAGTTCTTCTTGTTTTCTTTTGATTTCGGCTATAATTTTCTGATGACGTTGCTTTGTCAATTAGGTTACTACAAGTGTTCTAAAATATATGGTTCGGATTTATTAAAAAAAAATAAATATATTTAATTTCATCTTACTTGTTCACATATCTCGAGTGGACCTTTAGTGTCGTCGTTCAAACAAGTTGTTGTACTTGTTTCAAATTCTCGTTCAAGAGTTTTCTTCGTTCCAGGTTCTTCTATTACGTGAGAACGATTAATGGACTTTTCAAGAACCATGTCATCTGGTTCTAGAAACAGGTTATCATTTTGTACGCCACCATAACTTCTTTTTGTTTCTAAATTTGTGTCGCCTTCATAATTCTCAAGTTCCATATCATTTACGCAGTATATTGTTTGTCTAGACAACTTTTGGTTTTCCATATCGATTTTAGGGCGTAATTTGTCCGATGGATCAAGTTGACTAATGTATATAGCATTGTGTGTTTTCTGGCCGACACCGTAGTAACAAGATATCTCATTTTCAGTTATCTTCTGGAATACTGCCGAGTCAGTATATTCAATATCCATGTCGAAACTTCCGAATATTGTTTTTCTTTCGTTAGATGGTTTAGTTATGCTTTTACTGTCGTATTGCGCTTTCTGCGGCTGAAAATTCTCTTCATCAACTCGTATTTTTACAATTTTTTTTGCATCACTTTCTACATCATTATATATTTTTTCTGTTTCCCTGTTGTCCAATATGTCATTGTTACAAACAATTGTGTGAAGAGGTTCATGATTTTGATTTGTATCTTCCGTACAAAATTCTGTAATATTTACATTATCATGTATCTCAGCCAGCTTGTGATATGGGAAAAAACTTTCTATTTCCCTTTAAATAAAAATAAATATTAAAAAACAATTAACACAAATTTGTTGCAGTTATCTTACGCATTGTTTTGGTCATATGATGTTTTCTCAAGTTGCTTTGCTGCCTCCCTTTGAGTTTCCTCAAACATATCTATGTCGTGCATATTATACAATTCTCTTTTGGTGTTGTTACGCGAAGCAGTATCGTCTAATTTAGCATTCGTTAAAAAACTGGTATTGTCTAAAAATTTATCCTCGTAGAGAGAAATTCGCGGATTGGCGCTAATATTTTGATTTACGGTGAATCGACAAGCATTGGATTCAAAAATATCAATTTTTTCTTCGGAAGTAGTTGCATCCATATCTATGTTATCATCAAAAAAAAGGGTTTTCCTGTTCTTGTTAAATTTTCTGTTTTCTAAATTGCTATATTTTGTTTTTCCATCTGTTGTAGGAGTTTTAGAAAACAATTGTATTTTTCCTCCTTCAATATCATCATTAAGTTGTTTTAAGTTGTATGTTTTATATTCAGATGGAATCAATAGAGATGATGAAGACTCCGAAGACAACGACATATTTTTAGTATTGCTTATAGAAAAATTAAGAGAATTATCTAGTCCCTTAGGTTTTACAGCAGCATCAATTGTGGTTGAGACATGATCGGTACATTTATCAGGCGTGGGTTCTTTGCCTTGCTTATTATGATAACGTTCTAATAATCGTGCCTCAAGCCCAACTATATTTTTAGAATGGCTCATAAGTGGCGTACATATTTTTCTCACCACCAGTTTTGGAGGCCCACAATTGTCGAGCAATTTTTTTGTGCTAGTCATATGTCTAGTGATGGGTGTTTTTATTGGTGATATATCTTCGTCCATATCCGTTGATCCACTACCTTTATTGCGTTGGGATACGTGGATTTCTTTGTTGGGACAACTTGTAAGCCCATCTTCATCGATATCTCTTTGTGAATCTGCACAATTTTCATTAGATTCTTGTGAAAGGGACATGCTATCGATCATTCTACTAAAATCCTCCGATGATTTTGCTATACGAGTATTGGTTTTTGTCGTAAGCTGATTGTCAATGTCCATGTAGGAAGTATCGCTAGTGGTGGGTTTTAATTGGTACAATTTCCGTGCATTCAAATGCTCCCTGGATTTAGCAGTGTCAACATCTGTAGTATTTGCTGGATTCATGTTCTCTTTATCGAAATTCAAGTCATTTTGAGTTGTAATATCCATCTCGCCCAAAGTTGTGCAACAGTCAGGTAGAGTGACTTTCACTGGAAACATATTCCCTTTTTTAGTATCCCAGAAAATATTTGACGATTGTTCATTCATGTCTTTCTGAATTGTAATATCCATCTCGTCCACAGTTTTGCAGCTATTATTAAGACCTACTTTCACTGGGAAAATTTCTTTTTTAGAATTCAAGTTAGAATCTGATAAAGAACAATTTGTAGTCATTTCTGGTTGATTTACATCAGATCGTGGTTCCAAAATATCTTCTTCCTAAAATATATATACATTATATATACATTAATTAATGGCAATTATTAAATGACTAACATGATATTAATTTTAAGTATTATTTGCAATTTATTTTCAAAACTGAAATAAGACGTATTTCGATAACATTCATATAAATACATGTGTTCAACTTCTGTAGTAAAAACGGTTCTTTGATTGCATTGTGAGTGATAGAAATTTTCTTTAGCGGATGAAAGTATTAACCAATCAGAATAACATATTAAAGGTTAAAAATAATGGTTAGGAAGCCAAACTCCCCAACCAAACACATTTACAATCCCACGGCAGCGGGTTCTACGATACCGGATTGACCTGAAACAACAAGATCCCAGTTTCGGCCAGCGGCTGCCAACCCAGTATGTACATGTTTGTGTTTGTTCATTTATCTGCATTGGGTGCTCCCACGTATATCCCGGAATGCTTGCTCTGGATTTTATTGGTCCGTTCCGGGATTGAGGAAAACCCCGGACCTTGGTTCTGCTCGGTTTGTCAGAAAGTCATCTACCACACATCTGTTTCGGTGCGATGTAATGGATGCAGAGAATGGGTGCACTTTAAGAACTGTTCCGGATTAAGGCGTTTGCGAGACTACAGCGAAAGGGATTATGTTGCGACTTGCTGCAGTAACGTCGTCCCCAGCGAGTCCACTTCTTCGTCGTCCTCATCAGAGACGTCGTCGGAGTATGGCACTCCACCGCAGTCTCCAGAACAGCAACCAACACCGCAGCACCTAATGCCACATGTTGCTGTTCCAACTCCGGATTGTGCATCATTCTTGCAATTCAATTGCAACGGACTTCGAGGCAAAATAGATGAGATAGTGGAATTTATGAGTCGGATGAATATTAAGATCGCAGCGGTGCATGAAACCAAGCTGAATGAAAATTGCAGCCTTCAACGTTGTTATGGTTACAACGTACTAAGGAAGAATCGCACCAGAAGTGGAGGTGGGGGATTAACGTTCCTGTTACACCATTCTGTTCAGTACAGACCTATCTCGCTTGAGCTAGTCTCTAGTGACCCATACATGGAATGTATGGGGTAGCAGTCAAGTGTGGAACTGCCGAGGTAGAGGTGCTTAATGTGTATATCCCGCCGATTAATAGCTGTGAACCGCGTTATTTGCCTGATATTAGCCCATTATTGGTAGGCAATAACCGATTTCATAACCTCTGAACGCCGCACTTTCCTTAACCATGGGAAAGCTCACTGGCCAGAGTTCAGAGAATTCACCAACAGCAGCTTCAGAGAACTGTCCAACCCTTGTGACGTTCGGTTAGAAGAAAGGATTTTCCGAAACATCATCAAAGCTGCAGCCGCTCGCTATATACCTGCTGTTCGAATACCCGAGATAAGACCAAATTTCCCAGCAGAGGCAGCGGGATTAGCAAACGAACGTGATGATCTCCGTCGTACCAACCCCACTGATACTAGAATCAGTGATTTGACAGTGGAAGTCAACCGGTAGGTACAGGAGCATAAGAGGAAAAAGTGGCAAGACCATCTGAAGTGCTGCAACCTGTAACTGATATGAGTAAGCTGTGGGTAACGGTTAAGTCGCTCTCGAACCCTGGAAAAAAGGATGATAGGACCTCAGTCACTTTTAACCACGTAACGGTGACTGATCCGAAGAGGTGCGCGGAATATTTTAACCGACAATTTGTCGAGCACCCCGAGAGCGATAGGGCGAAGCAAAGAGTACTACGTCGTATCAGATCTCTTCCCGCCGAGGAGGAACCACCACAGTTTACGATGGGTGATGTTGCAAATGTCATCCGTAACGCTAAGTCATCCAAAGCGTTGGGCCCGGACGGAATCTCAATGGTAATGTTGCCAACCACCAGCACGGATTCCGTCCACAACATAGTACCACAACAGCATTACACGCCATTTCCACACATATTAGTAGAGGACTGAACCAGAACAGGCCGTGTGACAGAACAGTGTTGGTAGCCCTTGACCTATCAAAGGCATTTGATACAATCATGCCACACTGTTTGAGGACGTGCAGAGAACTACCCTCCGGCCATGTTTTAAACGTTGGATAATCAACTATATGTGTGGACGCCAGTCGTTCGTGGAATTCCGGAACAAGAAGTCCAAAGCCCGTAGAGTGAAACAGGGAGTTCCCCAAGGTGGGGTGATATCTCCGGAACTGTTTAACCTCTACCTTTCCGGAATTCCTCGCCCTCCAGACGGCATTGAGATCGTAACATATGCGCATGATTGTACGATCATGGCGTCGGGTCCAGTGGTCGATGACATATGCGAAAGGTTGAACCCCTATCTCACGGAGCTTGCCGCATACTTCCACGCGAGAAATATGAAAATATCCGCCACGAAATCAACGGCCACAGTATTTACCACATGGTCTGCGGAGATGAGAACACAGCTGAATGTTCAGGTCGAGGGGAATCTAATACCGACCACGAACTACCCCAAGATTCTTGGAGTCACGTTCGACAGCATGTTCAAGTCGTCCGCACAAGCCACAGCTATCTGCGACAAAATGAAAAGTAGGAACAAGGTCCTCAAGGTGCTAGCCGGCAGCTCTTGGGGTGCGGACAAAGATACCTTGTTGACCTCTTATAACGCGATAGTCGGTCTGTGGTCAGCTATGCGGCTCCAGTGTGGTCTGCGAATACTAGTGCTAGGCAGTGGAAGCATATCCAGACCTGCCAGAACGCTGCCCTGAGAACTGCGACAGGGTGCCTCCTCATGACACCAGTGAACCATCTACATGAGGAGGTGAAAGTCCTTCCCTAACGTCTGCATAATCTTATGCTTTCGTTGCAGTACCTGCTTGGGTGTTACCGTGAGAGTCATCCCAACCATTATATGGTGGATAAATCTCCCCCACCCAGGCGTGTCAGGAAGGACATACATGATCTAGAGAGGGAGGTCCAGAGCCACAAGAGAGAACCTCTAGATCAAGAAGCCTATCAGGCAGGTCTGAGTGGCATTCACACCGATGCAGTCGCGGATGCTATTAGCAGTTATAAAGTGAATGCCGTCCTCGGAGTCCACCCCCATCCATTGCAGCTGAAGAACGTCAGCTGCCTAGACAAACCAGGGTAGTTTTGGCGCAATTACGTTCAGGATGGTGTAGTCGTCTCAATTCGTATTGGGCACGAATTGATGAAGATGTGCGTGACGCCTGCCCGGCGTGCGATACAGGCCCGCACAATACGCTACACCTCTTTAATTGCTCAGCCAAACCTACCCAACTCACTCCAGAAGATCTCTGGCTACAGCCCGTAAAAGTAGCCGAATTTCTAAACCTGGAGCTGGAACCAGATTAGCAGAACGCAAACACATACATATACTACTGCTACAACAACAACAACCAAACACATTTAAATATTTTATTCTTTGAAGGCGGACAAGGTTGTCTGTAGGGTATTAAAATGAGAAAACCAATATATTAACCGGTATTGATGGACCCAATTATCTTCCTTTCGTTCTTTATCGTCTTGTTGTCCATTGGTCACACATTTGAATTATAGTACATGATCTAGAACCTACTTAACAACGAATTCATCTCACTGTAACTCAAAGATGTTGTGGCCAATGGAGAATCTTTCATGATCTTGACATTTACCAATGGCATAAATCTGGTGTCCATCCAATTCGTACGCAAATAATAAACATCTTGAAATGAATAGTATAATTATTGTGCAAACGATGCAAATTATAAACAAATGAAGTTAAACAGTTATGCTTATGTGCTGTACCAGAAGTATTTCTCTTCACAAAGAGAGGCAAATAGAAATCAATTGAGTTTAATTTTCGGTGTATATTTTATCTTTGGGTCATAAGGCACGAATATGCATAGAAGAATTTGGCTTTGAATGAAGAATAACACCTAAATAAATTTAACGATTAACGAAGTTAGACAATAAACATTAACCGGCATTTTAACACAACTTCCCAGTCGGTGCGACGGACCAAATATCATCGCTTTTGTCTTCCATATTATTATCACTAAACCAGCGTGAAATATAACATCGTATTGCATTTATGTTTTTATAAACGAATGTCATCCTAGTAAAAAAAGGATAAATAAATACTAATGTCAAGGACATCTTTAAAAAAAGAAGGCTACCTAAACTTTGCTTATATTCTGCAATTGCACTTCATTTATCATTATAAAGAAACGACGTTGACACCTATTTCGTGGAAGAGAAGATAAACTATGAACAGTCAAATAAGATATTTAACACACTTTAGGACCGACAAATATGTCGACAAGAACAAGTGAAAAGTTCACTGATTTATTTAACGAAATTCTTGCTCTCAGTTAGTTGAAAGATCCTTGCCTGTTTGATATATCTATCAAATTCCTGTCTTAATTTTCTAAAGCAGCCAATAGGTCCCAAATTGTTAAGTGTTTGTTAGATGGGTCAGAATCCAGTAAACTTTTGGCACCACTGGTTTAGATCATTACACTAAAATGTGAAAACCTTTCAACACCATTTCGTCAGCTATACTGAATGTGATATCTTCCGTTCAGCCAACTTACTGGCCTTCCGACATACAAAAACGCACTGTTTATAATTACTCATGTTCGAATTGTCATCGATAATTCCCCAACTATAATTACATTAAGAATATTCAATCCGTATCTCCTCCTATTAATCTATCTATCTACCAAATAAAAATTTAAAAAGTACAAAATGCCAGTTTCGGCCAGCGGTTGTCACCTCAGTGTTGCAGAGACTGGGTGCACTGCAGGAACTGTTCTGGATTAAGTGGTTGCGAGACTACAGCAGAAGAGACTATGTTGCGACGTGATACAGCACGTCTTCGTGGTCCTCTTCTGAGTCTTCGTCAGTCACCCGAATAGCAACCTATACCGGAGCATCTTACACCACATGATGCTGTTCCAACGACTTGCTTGCAATTTAGTTGCAAGTGACTCCGAGACAAAATACATGAGATAGTGGAATATATGATGTGGAGGAATATTTTGAAGCTCAACG